AATAAATATATTAAGAGGAAAAAAAAAGAGAAAAACATGGGATAACAAAAGAAATTAAAATCTTATCAAAATATTGAAACTTAAGTATCACCTTTCATCGTTAATAAGCTCATACAATATCAAAAATTTAAAATTCCTATAAAAAAATCAAACACAATGAAAAAATAAAAAAAAAAGTAAATTTTATGTTAACTTGATTCTCTAAAAATAAACTACAAATAAAATATCAATTCATACTTTCTAAATAAAATGAATAAATATGATACAGTTGATAAATTTATAAAAATTATAAAAATGGAAACATAATAATAAAAATTTCTCATGATTAGTAATGGTTAATAGTCAAGCTTAAACTGTAAAAAAATATGAAAAAAGGTAAAAAATTATAAGAAAAATAAAAAAATAAAAAAATACATAATTTGACTAATAAACAAACATGAAATGTAAAAAAAAAAATAATAGATCATGATTAAAAAATTAAAAAATTATCAAATTATCAAAACAAAAACACAAAAAAACCTCATAATTAGTAATATGACAAATAAGAATTTAGAAAAGAAATATACAAGAGGTATAAAAGACACTCATATAACCTCTCATCCTTAAAAGAGATAGAAAATCATAAGTCACAAGAAAATTAAAAGTAAAAAATATAAATGTTACAAAATCGAAAATTTGATCAATAAATTTTAACAGATAATAGATTTAAAGAAAATGAATACAAGAAAATCAAAGTCAATAATTCAAGTAATATGACAAATAATAATTAGGAGAAAAAAAGTATCAAAGAGAAATGAAAGAAACTCATATAACTCTCATTCTTAAAAGATATAAAACACCATAAATTAGAAAAAAATATAAAGTAAAAAATATAAATGTTACAAAATCAAAGGTTTGATTAATCAAATTTCACAAATAATAGTTTTAAATAAATTGAGTACAAGAAAATCAAAAGTCAAAAATCAAAATAATATGATAAATAATAATTGAAAGGAAAAGGTGTAATAGAAACATAAAATACACTCATATAACTCTCACCCTTAAAAGTGATAAAAGATCATAAGTCATATGAAAATAAAAAATATAAAATATAAAAAGTTAATAGAACCCCGTAGTTTCTAATCTTTGATCCAAATTCTATTTTGATTCTTAAATTTTAAAAAATTATAATCGGATCCCTAATTGCCCAAAGTTATCTTATTTTGATCTTTTCATCCATGAAACCATCTAAATTAATGGTAAATATAGTTGACACCATTTGATGATGTCAACTAACATCTAACGTGGCATATAAGGGACCAAAATATAATTTTTTCAAAGTTTAAGGACCAAAAACAAAATTATTTCAAAATTTTTATGAATTTCATATATTTTTATAAATTATTAAATTAAATTTAAACTTATATTTTTATATTTTTTGTTGTAATATAATTTTTTAGTTACTTTTTAATAGAAAATAGTTTTAAAAATTAAAATTAAGTTAAAATTTCAAATTCTATTTTTTAAAATTCAATATAATTTTAAAAACAAAAAATTATTTTCTATAAAAAATATTATTTTGCTCATAAATCATAATAAAAATATTATTTCTATCCATAAGATATATATTTTGAAATATTAAATATTATTTATTTTCCTTTTTCAAATACATTTTATAAAAAATAAATAAAGGAAAAGATAAAACTAATTCAAGAAAAATTGATTTTTATATATTTCAAATATATTTTCTAAAATATTTTAATTTTTATTATGATATGATTTATCAATAAAATAATATTTTTATTAGAAAATATATTTTTAAAAATTTAAATTAAGTTGAAAATTTCAAAATAATTTTGTCAAAAATTATATCATTTTAAAAAATTAACTAAAAATTTTTATATCGGTTTAAAAAATTAAATAAAAACTCTATATCATGTTAAAATAATATGTAAAAATTTTCAAAAATAGATTTATTAATATATTCAAATATAGAAAAACTTTATATTCATATAAAATAAAAATATATTTTAAAACATTTTTTTATTTTTTCTTTTTTATAAAACATATTTTATAAATATATATTTAAAAAGGAAAAATAAAAGATATTTAATATTTTAAAAAATAAATTTTTTATAAAAATAATATTTTTAATAATTTTTTTGGTTTTAAAATGTATTAAAATTTTGTTTTTAATAATTTTCTATTTAAAACAAAATTTTATCTAATAAAGTATATTATAACAAAAAATATGCAAATATAATTTTAAATTTAATATTTTTATAAGACTTGTATGAAATGTATACAATTTTGATATAGTTCCATTTTTAGTGCCTCAACTTTGAAAGAATTCTATTTTGGTTTGTCATTTGCCACATGAGATGTTAGCTGATGTTATCACATGGTACTAGTTGGTATTGGTTGTTAATTTAGATGGCTACATAGATAAAATGATCAAAATAAGATAATTTTGGATAATTAAGGATCCGATTAAAACTTTTTAAAGTTTAAAAATCAAAATAGAATTTAATTCAAAATTTAGAGACTACAAACACTATTAACCAAAATATAAATGTTACAAAACTAAAAAGTTGATCAATACATTTTAAAAATAATGGTTTAAAAAACATAAATGCAAAAAAATCAAAAGTTAATAATCCAAATAAATATTAGACAATTAAAAATTTATTATGTTTTATGTAATAAAATTAAGATTTATAAATTTATAATTTATGTAAAAAAATTTGGCATTTATTACAAAATATTTGAGTTTTAACAGCTTCCAATATAATATATATATATATATATATATTAGGTAATTAGTTTATTCTTTACAAATTACAACTATGGATTAATATTGCTAAGAAAATTTTTATTCTAATTGTTCAAAGAAAACGTGATTGATAATATCTTTTATTTTTGTGTGGTTAGTAGCTTTTCCCATCTTAACTTCTGTAGATATAGGTTTGCATAGTTATTTTCCTCCATGAATTCATGTACATATATATATATATATATTTTTTTTTTTTTCTTTTAAGACAGCATGAGTTAGAGCTCTTGGATCATTAATGACTATAGATTTGTGGAATGTCTTTAGCATATATCACTTTGTTTTACGTGTAAAATTTATCTAATAAAACTTGTAGTCCTTTGCGTTTTGGACTGAATGATATTTTGGTTAATTTATCAAAATGCATTCAGAAAAGCACACATATTGAGTGAGACTTGGGTACCGAAACACTTTAAAACCCTTTATGCATACGGCTGGATGTCATGATCGAAGAATAATCTTCTGCAGCCTTTATCTTCTTTTGGAATTTGTTAATGTGAGCCTTCTGAATCCATGAAACAATTATCTCATTTTCTTCCTCTTAACTCAGCAGAGGATACAAAATGAAGCAATAAAGGTAAACTATATAAGAAATTTTGAACCTTAGGGTGTTGAAGATGCAGCCAAGTTTTGTGTATCAACCTTTTGTTACTATCATATGTTTTGTATTTTAACAATATTAATGAATTTATGCATATTTTCTCGATAAGAAGCAAAAAGCACAGAAACGGCGTCAAAAGGGAAACTTAATTAGATGCTAAAGGGAATCATTGATCTGCAGTCTTACCTTTTATATAATTCTGTATAGTTTTTCTTTAGTTAATAATTATTTACAAAAATAAAATGTTAGGAAAAATCAGAAATAATTGTCAAGCAATGTTGTTGGTGGTGAAGGTGAAAATTGAGAATCACCCAACACCCGATATTACCATCGATCCATTCATGGGCATAATTAAGAGACGTGTCGGCCACTCACCGATGCATCGCTGCTGACGGCCGAACTAAACTATAGCCACTCTTTTATGGGACTTAACGTTATCCACACAGCTTAACCATCCTCAAAATCCAAAACAGCTAAAATAATATTTTAGCTAAGCCAGGCTATCAATTAGAAGAAAGAAAAGAGTTATACGATGTTTGTTAAGAAAAATTCGACAGATGTTTTTTATTTAAATTGATTAAATATAATTAAAAATTAAAATTGATAAATTAAGATCATACGTAATGTATAAGATAATTAATAGAATTATCCTATATATGTTTAATTTATATCTAAAAATAAATAAAATTACAAGAAAAATTAATCATCTTCTAAGATAATTTAATTCTTTCAAAATAAAAAAATTTATTTTAAATTCATAAAATTAAACTTACATATCTTATTATATTTTAAAAAATTATATTAATAATTTAAATTATATAAATTTGGAGAAAAATAATTTTGATCAATAAATAAATTATTTTATTTTAAATTTTATACACATCAAACACAAAATAAAATGACATTATTTAATCTAATACTATTTATAATATCATCTAATTTTATTTTATCATAATCTTATATGTCAAATATATTTTAAAAGTTTTTATTATATAGATCTAGTATGTAAATTTTGAAAAAATGAATAAATTTTGATATATTTTTTAGATAGATATTTTAATAAAATTTTTGATAAAATTTTTGTCATTAAATAAATATTAGTCAAATTTAATTATAAATGATAAATATTTTTTTACATATTATTAATTTTTTCATTAAATTCTATCAATTTATCAATTTAGTTTTTTTTATTAAAACTTTTATTAAATATTTTTAATAAAAAAATTATAATAGGTTCCTAATTCTTATAATTTGTTTCTAGATGTTTTACCCATGTTTTTCTTTTTCTTTCTTTTGATAATTTGTTATATACGTGATCTAGAAGATATATATGGGCAATAATGGAAACAGGAAAAATCCACAATTATCACTTTAAATAGACGCCAAACAAAAAGGAAACGCATGTCGTAGAAATAACATCATTCCTCCTCCCTCACTTTTCTTTCTCTATTTCTAGACTTCATTTTTTTTAGTATGTATTATACCATATATTCTCCTCATAAGACCAATTCTTTTCTCTAGAAAGCTTTGCCAAAAACTTCTCCTCGTCTTATTAAATCTTCCATTTTTCTCTCGCAAACATACGAAAGCATGGGAGAAGAAATTACTTCTAATATTCATCTTCATGATGATCAAGTTGAAGAGCCTGAAGAAGCACTTTCTCTTTGCGACCTTCCTTTAGATTTGACAGATACCATTAATGGCAACCCCGAAAATGATCATTTGGAAAAAATATTGTCTGCCCAATCTCGAAGATCATCATCCACGGCTGCCCCTGAATTCTTTGAGTTTCTGAACGACATTAGCTCCGATATGTGCGCAGCCGACGATATAATTTTCTGCGGCAAACTCTTTCCTTCTAGAGAACAACCTATTTCCTTCCAAACATGGGAAGAAAAGAGGAAAAGCAATGTTTTACGCAAACGATCCGAGTCACTGTCCGAGTTATGCAGCAGCTCCATAACTCGTTCAAACAGTACAAAAAACACTACACTTCTCAGGAGCAGCCGTTCCTTGGATTATCAAAAGCTTCATCGTTATGACATGGAGAGGAATCCTTCGGTAAGAAGGGTCGAAAGACATGATCAGGTTTCACCTAAAAAATTAGTTAAGCCAAGATGGTATGTTTTCATGTTTGGAATGGTTAAGTTTCCACCGGAAATGGAGCTTAAAGATATCAAAAGCCGGCAATCCCATCGCAGTCCTTCGATTATGTTTCCCACGGTGGAAGATGGCGGCAAGAAGCTCGCTGGTAACCGAAGCTCCAACAAGTGTTCTTCTTGGAGTTTGTTAAAAGCGTTGAGTTGCAGAGATCATACTAGCGTTGATGTAACGGCGTCGTTCTGGATGCCTCACGCCTAATGTGGCACGGAGCTGAACCATTTCCCAACAGTTTACTTTTATCGTTTGTGGACTTTTAAGCCTCTTGTTTTTACGTGGGAGGGATGACGACTTGACGTAGAAGGGGAGGATGATGTACAGTGGCGGTCCACTAGTGATAACGCCCTCTCGCTTTCAGTAATTGATTTTATTTTATTTTATTTTTTGTTATTTTACTACTATTAAGTTTTGGGAATGTTAGGAATTAATGATAATCACGAGATTCCTGACAATACAACATTACAAATCATATCATCAATATTTATTAAATTAATTTTGTAATACTTGGAATAGAAAATATCGTCACTTTTGGATGTTTGCTTTTGTGTGTGTGTATATATATATATATATATATATATAAGTTATTATTTAGAGTTATTTTGTATTAATACATGTTTAAATTGATTTTGTATGTTTAGTTTTTAAATATCAGTGTAATTGTTATATTTTTTTTATTATTGAATCAAAATAGTTAAATATAAGTTTTATAAATTTAATTTTAATCTAAAAAAATGTGTAATACTTATATTAATACAAGTAAATTATATATATATATATATATGGGAGTTGGTAGTTCATTTTTATCTTTTACCATAAAAATAAAGTCGAATTATGTCAAAAGTTTTTATATTTTATGAAATTTAAAATTTAGTTCATGTATTATAATTTATATAAATTTAGTTTTCATACTATTTTGATTTGATAATTATAATCTAATAAATAATGTTATAGCATCTATATTCGGAGATCTATCGTTAGATTTAACAAATGAATGGAGTCGTCACCAATTTTTTTTAATTAGGTGTGATTGGTCACTTAAGGAATCTATCATTTTAAGAAACTTCTAAGCTTGACTAAGAGTCCTAAAAGAATAAGTTTGAGTCTACTAACCAGAATATGATTTGAGAGTCGGCTACATATGGGAAAAGTTATAGCACCTTCACATGCCCATCCGAAGATGGTACCATATTATTTCAATTTATCCTAAAGTATTGAGTCTAATGGTTTTAAATTTTAAATTGAAATATTAAAAATAATTTATAAGATTCTTCTATCAATCTGGTAGAATTCTTAAAAAATATTTTTTTACTTCAAGAGTATTTAAGGATCCAATTTGATTTCTTGAAGAGGTTCTGTCGTCGGAAAAATGTTTAATTATTATTTATTTTTTTTGTCAAAAAATATATCTAATTATTCCACAATTTGTGCCAAATTAGAAATATTTTCTCTTTTTGTGAATTTTTAAAATTTTTCACCATTTGAGTCTATTTAGAAATTCTTTTTATTTTCTTTGAAAAGAAAATAATATGACAATTACTTTTATGAAAATTTTTCATCTAAATTATTCCACCATTTGGGTCAAATTTAGAGAAAATTTCTCACCTAGAGATTTCTTAGAAATTTACCATTTGAAAATTTCTAAGAATCTCATTTTAAATAATTATCAAATATTTTCAATCTAAATTTTTATTCAGAAAAGAATACAATTACTTGTATTGAAATTTCATCTAAATCATTCCACCATTTGGGTTAAATTTAGAGAAAATTTCTCACATAGAGATTTCTTAGGAATTTACCATTTGAAATTTCTAAGAATATCATCATTGGGTAATTTGTATTTAATTCAAAATTTTTTTTATATTTTTATAACTTTTATGTTTTTTAATTTTTTTGGTTTGAAAACAAATATTAATTATTGTTATTGAAATTTTATTTAAATTATTCACCTTTTGGGACAAATTTAAACAAAATTTCTCACCTAGGAATTTCATAAAAATTTGCCATTTGAAATTTTTATGAATTTCATCATTAGATAATTAATATTTATTCTCAAAATTTTTATTTTTTATTAATTTTATTTTAATTAAATATAAAAAAAACTAAGAAAAAAAAAAATAAACAAATAAAATACTTAAATAAATAAAAAAATACCAAAAATATTCGAAAATGGCTCGACTTGCGGCTGGTGCAGCTTGGCTTCAAGCACAAAAGGCAGCTCGAAGGCTTGGGTCAGGGAAATCGGCTCTGCTTGGCTTCAAGAATCAACTGGTAAGCAGGTCAGAAGTGGGTTGGTGCTCCGAGTTGGGTCGCTTAAGTGGAAATGTGCGGATCCTAAGGTTTTCTTAAGGCCCAAACGACGTCATTTTGCGCAAGTATAAAAGGTAAATAACCCAACCTTTCAGCAAATACGCCTTTTTTCTTCTCTCTCTTCTCTTCTTTTTCTCTTCTTTCTCTCTATCCGATACCAGTTTTCGATTGAATATTTAACCGAAAACTAGAAATTTATGCCGAAAGCTTCAAAGTTGGTCGAAAACTTCTTTGAAAAATTCAACATCGTCGAAAAATTCACTGAAATCTGAAAAATTTCCAAAATTTTTCAAAAAAAAAAAAATTTCTAAAAAAATTTTAAAAATTGTTAAATTGCTTCTAACCACTCCTAGAAGATTTTTAGACTTTGTCTTTTATTTTTAGCTTTCTGATTTGTCCCCATTTTTTTGTGTAAGCCTATATTTATAGGCATTGATCATAAATAATTTTTGATCAATTTCTATTCCCTATTTGATTGGGATTCAAGTCCAACCTTACCAGCCCCTATTCTAGAAGGAAGTGGAAAAGAATAAAATAAAATTATATATATACAAAATTAAGACTCCATTTTGAACAAGGAAACCAAAATAATAATAATAATCATGAAAATAAAATAAAATCAACCGAAAATAATAATTTAATTTAAAAAAATAAAAAAAAGTTAAACAAAATAAAATAAAATAAAACAGGGCCAGTCTGTCCTTACTGAAACAGATCTGAGCTAAGCCCAATGGGCTTAGGCCCAGCCTTTGTTGGACCAAGCTCGATGCACCTAGGCTTGGGCCCGAACAAATTAGGGTGTCTACAAATAATTTTATCAATATTTTGTCATTAAAAATGTTGACGTGGTCGGTACTTGGATGGCATGAGAGTTGGCTTTCCTTACATTATATTAACTTACTGACATAACAAATTAGATAGATGAAATCGATTGTTAAATTATATAAATGATTATTATACTCACAATTTTAACATTTTATTTAATCAAATATTTATTTTTTCAACTTTTTTGAAATTTTATAAAAATTTCTATATTTTTTAATTTTTTATGGTTTTTAGAAAATTTTTATAATTTTTAATATTTAAATGAATAAATAAATAAATAAACTAAAGAAGACCCAAGGCTTTAGAATTTATTTTGTTTGATATATTTAAGACCAAATAGTATAAAAATCTAGGTAAAATAGAAGAATATTGAAACACGAAGAGTTTTTTATTTTGATTTATTCTTCAATTAAATAAGATAAAAAAACATGTAAAATCTTTTTAAAATTTATAAACTCTTTTTAAAACATAAAATATATAAAAAATTTCTAAAAAACATAAACATTTAAATATATGGAAAATTTTATAAAAATTCAAAAATTTTTAAAATAATAAAATTATATAGTTTGTTTAACTAAAAATATTAAAATTTGAAAAAATACAAAAACTTTCAAAAATTAAAATTACAAAAATTAAAATTTTGAAAAAATAAATTTAATATTTTAAAAAACCATAAAATTTATAAAAAAATTCAAAACATTTTTTTATATTAGATGAATTAAATTTTAAATTTCTTATAAGTACGTAGACTAAATTTTAAATTTTATGTGAATATAAAGATCATGTTTATAATTTAATAATTGATTTCATTTAAGTTACCACGTTAGCAAGTCAATATCACGTTAGCAAAATCAATGGTCTTATAAGCAAATTTAATTGTCACGGCAATATTTTTAACTATAGAAAATTAATGAAATAAGTAATTGAACTAAAATTATTAAATTAAAATAATATGAGAACTAAATTTATATAAATTATAATACATTGACTAAATTTTAAATTTTTACAAAGTATAAAGATCTATGACATAATATGATCTAAAAACTATTATTATTATTATTATTATTATTATAACGTAACTTTGCTTTCTCAACCTCTCTCAATATATTGAGTATGACAAACCTTAATTTGATTCCGGTGATTCTTCCATTTGCATGACAAAGGGACGACATTTACACATAAGACAATGCCTCTTTTTGTTTTTGTTTTTTTTGTTTTCAATGAAATGAAAGAAATTTCAATTTTTTCGACCTTTCTGAAAAGAGAATATAGGAAATGTGTCGGTCAAATTTGTTAATTTTTCTTGACTACTGAGTATTACAGTATTTCTGAAAAGTTAAAGGACTATTCTAAATTTTATTTATCATAAATTTACACATTTGCCTTTCTAGAAGGTGTACGTTACCAAAAAAAAAAAAAAAAACACAAATGGTGCTCTAGTGATTTGATATATATATGTATGTATTTGGTATTCAAGGTTATATGTTTGATATATATGTGATTTATCAACCAACCAGGTAGTTACTGGTCTATTAATTTGATATATACTAGACTTTGATTACACTTACTATGTGAGTGAAAAAGAAATTGTTTTGAAAGAAAATATTATATAAGAAAGGGTTGCTGATTTTTTTTTTAATTAAGTGGGTTTTTTTATAAAGTAAATAGATTTATTTATTTTTAATTTTAGTTTTTTTTATAATAATTTTGTTTGAATTTTATTAATTCACCCAATAAAATTAATTTTTTTTTAGATAAAAGCTGGAATTAATTAAACGATAGGAGAATTATCCAACTTTACAACCGAACAAATCCTCTTCTAATGACAAACCATGCCTTGCTAAAGAGTGTGTTGCTGCATTTATTTAATAAAGTTAATTGCTATCACTTGTTTCATGATACCAAATTCAGTAAAAAATTTTATATTATTATAGATACATGTTAATCATAATCACGGCATTTATTTAATAAGAACCAAGACCATAGCCATAAGAGGAAAAAAAAAACAAGTTCATTAAAGAATAAAGAACAGTAAAAAGAAAAAAAATATAAAGTAGTAAATATATATT